ACTAGCATGATCCCTGTATGGAAAGTATATGTTAAAAAAATCCCTGATTCCAAGATTAGGATTCTAGACAGTAACATAGATTGATACAGGTAAGAAAGCTTCCCAACCCAAGTTATTTTGGAGAATATTGGTTTTCATGAGTAACTGTCCAAAATAATTACTCCAGGTGTTAGATTAGAAGCACCGTACACTAATGACATTCATTAAAGCAAAATAATTTATTTGAATATGCAGATGCAGAATTAAAAACATTTTTTTTTAATATGTTTACTTAATGGAAAAATGTGCATGGATACAGAACTAGGCTTAACATGGAATAATTCTTCTCTGAATTATCAACACTCACATAATGGATATTTTATACCACATCATTGTGCTATCGAGCATCACATAAAATGTGTGGCCTAGGAGTATGTAAATACAAATTTTGTCAAAAAGAAAAATAATCATGCTGTTATATAATAGATCCCCTCAGTGATTAATTCTATGATTTCCCTATGGCAAAATAGCAATCAAACTAACCTGAATTAATCCTGGCAATATAGGAATCAAACGTTCAAATACTACTTAACATATAATTTAGTGAGAAAACCGCCATTTCTCATTGCAGTAATATATCCCAGAGGATGTTTCCTTGCACTTTAATCCTCAGAGCTTTGCTTTCCTCCTTCCAGTTTACGATTTCACAGTTTCAAAGTCAATTTTGCCCAACCAGGACATCTGTGATTGGCTGAATACAACACGGCCAGGTTAGCCCAGTTCTCTCAGCTAATCAGTGCTGTCCAAGTCATATGGAATTAATATCGAAATTTTGAAAGTGCAAATTCTGCATTATCTTAACGAAAGACGAAGTGGTCTATGCGTGTTAAGGAAATCCCATTATTTTAATTTTTTGCCGTCTAATTGCTCTTAAACTGTTTGACAAGGAACTGAGGGGTGCACTTATTAGCAAAATGACTGCTAATCTAATCTATAACTAATATAAATGTATGTAAGCTTACCAATGTAAAGTTACTTTTTGCCTCAACAAACATCAAGAATAGTTGTGGAACACGTAGACACAAGGGCAAGCAGATACAGTGAACAACGAATTTATAACTTTTTACATATAACAATTTGTTGTTTTCACAAATGTCTATAGGGACATTTCCATTTTTTTTTTTTAAATCATCACCCAACACGACAGTACACAGTTTATCAACTTCTTAAGAATGAAAGACAGAATTTTACCTGTCTTCCTCTGTGACTTACTGCAGTCATTCATCAAACTTACTTACCACCTTATTAATTCTAGAGTGGAGGCTCCCAATCTTTCTGAATGTGAGGCCTCATTTTTGACCCCAAAAAGTCACATCTAAAGGGTGAAAAAGAATATTACACAACATTATACAAATTAAAAAAAAACGCAAAATGTATAATTGGTGTTCACAGTGAAAAAACTGAGAATCTTTCAGCGGTTATTAAGATTGCGCTTTTTATGTAACCAAATGTATAATCTGACAGCCACCATTTTACGTGTTTCGTGCTTGGTGGCGTTTTGTCGTAAGGTACAGAGCACATAGTGGATGGTTGAAAAACTGTAACCATGGTTAAGAAACAAAGGTAATATTTTAAACAGCTGAAAATTCCTCAGTTCCTTCAGTGTGCACCTCAATTAAATATGTTGCTGTTTATATATCACTTTTGCACAGTTAGAACCTGGAGAAGCACAGTTAAGGCAAAGAAGACACTATTTATAGGAACTGTATAAAATATTCTTTAAGGGATACAATACTCACCAGAACAACTACAGCATAATGTAGTCATTCTAGTGTGTATATATTTAGTCCCTGCAGGCTTTTAATGTAAACACTGCCTTTTCGGAGAAAAGGAAATGTTTACAATACTACCTAGGGACATCTCCAGTGGCAGTCACTCAGATGGCTACGAGAGGTGCTTCCTGGGTCAGTGCTGCACAACATGCAGCACTGCCATTCAATGCCTTCACCCTCTGCGTGGAGATGCCAAACTTTCACCATAGAAATGCATTGATTCAATACATCTCTATGTGGAGATGATGATTGGCTATTGACCATTTCAGCCAATCTAATGCTTTCTATAGGAAAATTCTGATGATCTCAGCCAAGGAGGTGAATTGGGGGCTGGGCAAGCGCTGGCGGACCTGAGCAGGGCTAGAATTAAAAGTTCTATGAATGATGGAAGGACATAGGTTATATAGGACAGCCCAATGAGAAAACGGAAGTATGTCTGGGAGTGTTTACAACAAAAATGGTTCTATAAAGCAATATGGGGCTTAATGGGCTAGTTGAGGAATAAGCGTTTGAGTTCTTTAGACTAGGGCTTCTTTTAGAATGTTAAACACACCTATGATGAATAGCAAAAATAGTTCCATTATGGAACATTTTTTGTTCACAAATGCATACGTCCTAAGTGCCCTAAATTCAGGTGGAATCAGGTCCCAACTATTTTTGAACAAGAAAAAAGTGGTAATTTTCTTCAGAATAACAGTTTATATGCACATTGTTGAGAACTTTCAAAACTTCAAAATGAAAGTGGAAAAAAAACTGGCATAGCTGAAAAACTAGGTTATTAAATTGATGTCTGTTTTAAAGTGACCACAACTCACCCACGGTTTTTCACCAGGGTGTTAATTGTCTGGAATTCAAAGTGAATTCAATGTGGTCGTTACATTTTTTGTGCAAAACACTCAAAATGAAAATACATCTGACTTCAGGAAAATAGGATCATCTATTTGACTTTTGTGGCCTAAAATTTGATTTACTAGTAATTACTAGCAATTCACACACTTTATTTAATTACCCTAACCCTAGTTAAAAAGACCCCAATATATAGGATTTAGGCAATTCCATCCTAAAATTTTTAATTCACTTCAAATGCCGGACAATTTAGACTTTAGCGGATTACCATGATAGAATTGTTACCAGAATACGTACACAAAATTCCCCATGCACATTGTCGTGCAAAGTTAGAAATGCAAATGAATGGACTTCCAGTGCGATTCTTATGATGTTTGGAGTCAATGTGAAATCCACGGTATTCGGTAGCACAGTATACAATGTTAGACAGGCTAGACTTATATGTTTTGTAAATGGGAGTAGTCACGGAATCTTTGTCATTTCCCCCCAGAATCTTCTTTTAGCTCTAAAAATAAGTAAGATTAAATCACATTTTTTATTTAATTTTATGTAAAAAGAATTTAACACACCTGTACGGACTAGATTATTAGAACATTTTGACATTAAACTATCACAATGAAATCTTAACACAATGCCATTATTTATTATTTATTATATTTATATTCCTTTAAACCAATATACCTGTAAAAGAACTCCAGTTTAACACAAATTGCTAATGTAGACTAGACTGTTGGATATTGACTAGGCTAATAAAAATCTCAGGGCATCTAGATCAGAAGTCTTTAAGCCAAAACTAAAATTTTCAGCTTGATAGGCGACTAGCTGCAAACATAGTGGCCCAATGTGAAACTAAGCAGAACCCTGGAGCACTCTATAGATGAAAGGTTTATCTTGGTGGACCCCAAGCAGTTGGGACACCTGATGAGACAGTGGCCAAATCCAGTCAGGTTGAATCCTCATTAAAAAGATTAACAAACTCCATCAGTTTGCTATTAACATGAATTTTTAGAAATGTTAATTCTCTCAGGGTTCGTTGATTAGATATTGAACAGCAATATTCTTAAGCGATACATTTCTCCATTCGATTTCCAAACCTTTTCACATTTTCAAAGATTGAGATTTCATAGCTGAACATCTAATGACTTTGTTTAATTAGATTCCACTAGCTGTAACTGATCTACATATGTTTATTTCTTTAAAAAAAGGTATTGGCTAACATCATTATGTCAGAAGGCACGTCTGAAAACATTGGAGAACATCCTTGAGCCCAACTATTTTGAACATGTTACTGATCGTTAATATTAAATGTATAGTTGGTACCTATAAATTTAGCCCAGAAAGACTAAGGAAGAATAGTAACAACAGACAAAAAAATTATTAACAGTGAAATAAGTTTAAAAGTAATGTTCTTTTAACTATATATTGCTATAAAATCTATCTATCTATCTATCTATCTATCTATCTATCTACCAACCTATCTATCTATCTATCTATCTATTTATCTATCTATCTATCTATCTATCTATCTATCTCTTGACTTGCCCTTTCCTATCTTTTAGCTATTATAGAAACAGCACAACCCTGTAGAATGCAGAGTAGCAATGATTGATTATCTACATATTTTATACCGCTTCAAGTGTTTGTGTTTTATATATTTCTGTTAAGTCTGTGTCGTTTGTATAACTGTAAATATTCTCTGTGTTTGTTTGGCAGTATATCGCTTTTGCCTCCCTGTTCTTCATTCTCATCTCCATCACAACGTTTTGCCTTGAGACCCACGAGGCATTCAATATTATCAACAACAGGACTGAGACGAGCATACGTAACAACGTTACCAGTACGGAGATCATAATAGAAGTGGAGACTGAACCCTTTCTAACTTATGTAGAAGGCATGTGCGTGATCTGGTTCACTTTTGAGTTTCTCATGCGTGTTTTGTTCTGCCCAGATAAAATGGAGTTCATTAAGAGCAGCTTGAATATTATAGACTTTGTGGCCATCTTACCTTTTTACCTGGAGGTCGGCTTGAGTGGCCTGTCTTCCAAAGCAGCCAAGGACGTCCTAGGTTTCCTTCGGGTTGTCCGCTTTGTCCGGATCCTGAGAATCTTTAAGCTCACTCGCCATTTTGTTGGGCTCAGGGTTCTTGGACATACTCTACGAGCCAGTACCAATGAGTTTCTGCTTTTAATCATATTCTTGGCACTTGGGGTTTTAATCTTTGCCACTATGATATACTACGCAGAGAGGATCGGTGCTGACCCAAAAGACATCACTGGCAGTGCCCATACCAACTTCAAAAACATCCCCATAGGGTTTTGGTGGGCTGTGGTTACAATGACAACTTTGGGCTATGGGGACATGTATCCAGTGACTTGGTCGGGAATGTTGGTGGGTGCCCTCTGTGCTTTGGCAGGTGTGCTAACTATTGCCATGCCAGTCCCTGTTATTGTCAACAATTTTGGAATGTATTACTCCCTGGCTATGGCTAAGCAGAAACTACCAAAGAAAAAGAATAAGCATATTCCCCGACCACCTCAACCCGGATCTCCCAATTACTGTAAGCCAGATATGCCGTCCCCCCATAGGAGCAATCAAGGAGATTCCTGTCCTTTAGCACAGGAGGAAATCATTGAGATCAACAGAGCAGGTAAGAACAAATGATTTTATGTCAAGAACATTCAGCACCATTCACCAGGTACAGTATAACTTATATGACAGATATTAACAGCTATGCTTAAAGAAAAAGGGGAGGAAAAAAACAGCAAATTGTTTGTCTGAGAAAAACAGTTTGAAAAAATTGGGAACATTTCTAAAATGTTTAACATAGTATTTAAATCGCAAAGAAGGTCTTAAATTGTTTCTAAAGAATTTCATATATATAATCTAGCAGTTTGACACAAAAGGTAATGCAAGTTAGAAGGCTAAAAGGGCTCTGCAATCCCTGCTGCTCTTCACTTGGGAGAAATGTGTAGCTGACAGTGAGATCTGTGCCTGGATGGCACAGACCTCTCTTTCTCTACTCCCTTGCAAGTCTCTAGTTGTAATGGCTGAGGGAGCTGGGTTATGACATCATTTTCTTCTTTGTTTTCAGAAGTACAGATAAATCAAGTTTTCTGCGCATTCATATAAGTTATCTAGTTCTAGAACAATGGAGGTCTGTCTGCATTGGCCTGTTATAGAGCTGCTCTTATTAGCTATTAAAATACTAGAAGATTCAGGATAAATCGGTTTGAAATATGGCACTACCTCCTGATGCCGAGAATGTTAAAGGGACACTCCAGGCTGAAAGTGAGTTAAGAGTTAAGATTAATAAATAATACACTAAAAAATATGCAATAAAATAAATCAAATGAAAATAAAACACAATACTCACCTTTCCTGTTGCTGCTGCTGCTTATCCACATAAAGAATCATTGAGGTTATCCTAGACCGAGAAGAAAGCCATCAGTTAGGAGATCTGATCTTGTCCTACCCAGCATTGATTCTGTTGTCTGTAAAACATTTACAGTGATGCATGTCCCTTTAAAGATGAAGCAATTTTTGCAAATTAGTACTGTAAGAAGCCACTGTGTGCAGGAACATAGTGAAACTGAAAGGGAATGTCCTTTAAACGTAAACACTGTAATTATTGTTGCTTCTAATGTTATTTAGCAATACCCCTTAAGATAAATGTTTTAGCAAAGCATTGGACTGACAGTCACACAATCAAACAGCCAAGGCCCACATACCGGCAGACATGCATATGGATATAACAACCATCACACCACATACAAACATTCAGACACACTCATGGAACGGTAACATTAATTAACAGGCAGTCATGTATAGACACACTCATAAATAGATGGGGATACATAGACACATATGAATACAGACACAGAGACACAGAGATACATTTGTTCAACAGAAATACAAACAGTAATGAACATAAAAACGATTACAGACATAATTATGAACAGATAGACACACATATGCAGAAACACAGTGTCATGTATATACATTCACAGTGAAAGACATTTAAATATTAGTACACCCATGCACAGGAGGGCTCATCAGCTCTGCATTACTTAATCCATGCTTTTAGAAGCATAAGACAGCCAAACATTACATGTCCCCCACTACCCCAAAAGTAAAAACTTAAATCAAGTTTAAAAAGCACTGCAAAATATATCATATCCCTCTTCCATATCCCATGCCATCTAATCCCCCTACCATCTCTTTCCCCGTTTTGCCCTCTTCCTAAATTGCCCCGTTGCTCACATTGAGCTTTTAGCTCTCAAAGTCTCTCCCTTTTGCAATGTCATTACGTCGCACCTCCCAACATTTCAAATGGATGAAGAGAGACACTTTCATTTTAGGTGTGTGATTTGACTGTTCTGAGAAATTTTAGCTGACTTACTAATAATTTGCAAAACTAAAATGTAATTTAGAACAATAACAATGTACCTTATTTGCAAAGACTGATTTCTAAACACATTTATTGTAATTTAAATACACATTACTGTGAGTATTATTGATGTGGAGCTCTGTTATACACTCAGACACATTACTGGGAGTATTATTGCTGTGGAGCTCTGTTATACACTCAGACACATTACTGGGAGTATTATTACTGTGGGGCTCTGTTATACACTCAGACACATTACTGGGAGTATTATTGCTGTGGAGCTCTGTTATACACTCAGACACATTACTGGGAGTATTATTGCTGTGGAGCTCTGTTATACACTCAGACACATTACTGGGAGTATTATTGCTGTGGAGCTCTGTTATACACTCAGACACATTACTGGGAGTATAATTGCTGTGGAGCTCTGTTATACACTCAGACACATTACTGGGAGTATTATTGCTGTGGAGCTCTGTTATACACTCAGACACATTACTGGGAGTATTATTGCTGTGGTGCTCTGTTATACACTCAGACACATTACTGGGAGTATAATTGCTGTGGAGCTCTGTTATACACTCAGACACATTACTGTTAGTATTATTGCTGTGGAGCTCTGTTATACACTCAGACACACCTACAATATGGAGGTCCTGGAAGAGAGGGACATTAAGATAGAAAAAAGGAAAAGAGGGATTTGGGTCAAAAATATGGTCCCTATTAAATTAGGAAATTTGGGAGGTATGCCTCCTGCCATTGCTCCTAGATATGACAATATCCAATATATCTGCAGATATTATTTTCTGAGAGCAGGTCCTTGCAATGATAGTAATATATAATTAATAAGTATCAAACAATTCACAAATCGTACTTTAAAGTATGTCTTATGTCAAATACACAAGGACAGGCCTAGTCATTTTGAAAAAGTTCCTCTAGGTTCAGACAGTTCATTATCGAACTGAGTAACATACAAAATTATGTTTAAAGTAGAGCTCTCATAAAAATATTATCTTCTGATATGCTGTGCTAAATATTAATATATGCTACTTTGAAAAGTTTTAATGACCATGGCCTTTTGGATTAAAACATATTAGGCTTCTCCCTCCACATATTTTAAACTAAATAGCAATGGCTTACATCTTTAAAACATGTCGGTTTTCAATATATGTTACAACGTTGTTGAACAGTGATTTTTATGCCCTGGAGAGCTTAATGTCAGTTCTTCCTACCATACAAGAATAATGAAAAAAAAAGTTTAAACTTGATTATCCAAAAAAAAAAAAAAAGTTTAAAAAAGTTGTAAAAACATTTGTTATTTACAGTTGTACCATTTCAGTGTCATGGAAAACTAGCTATTTGATCCCTCCGATGCAAACAGCAGTATCCATGAAAAAGGATGTAGAATCTATGTAGATTTTTTGTACCATTTTTCATTATTCTTATAAATCAGGCTCAATGAAAATTAAATATGCAAAGATTTAACGCGCTCTATTTTTGCATCAGAGTGCTCTAAGGCCTTTATGTGCATCACATCAGTGTGAGGATACAAGAACAGACTAAAATATTTGCTGAATATCTTCTAGTTAGTTTTCCATTAATTTACTACAGTGTTTATGTTTAGTAATGAGTGCTATAAATTTTTTAACATTTTTTAAAACATGGTGTGCAGATGTTGTCAATAACAACAGCAGTTCACACAATCTTATAGTTCAGGGGCGCCACTGATTGGCTGAGAGCAGTCAGCTAACGCTCTTAGCCAATCAGTGACTTCTCATTCAGTAAACTGGCTTGGAAATAAATGTACCTTTTCAAGCCAGTTTAGTGAATGGGCAGTCACTGATTAACTGAGAGTGTCAGCTGACTTCTCTTAGTCAATCAGCTGCGACCCTGCCCAAAAATTCAGAAGCCTGATTCAGAAGCCTGGTTCGAGAATAGTTTAACCCATTGAGGGGCCTCCTGGCACCATGACAAATTAATCTAGATGAAGTTGTTTTGGTGATTGGTGTGTCCCTTTAATTTAACTACACTCAACTCTTTGCAACAAATTCTTCCCCACTCTTCACCTGCACTCACCCACCTATTAGGGGTAACCTACCCCCCACCCCCTTTAAAGTGATTGAATCAGAAGTATAATAAAACATTTTATCAGCATTAGACGAGGCTGACACATTTAGGAATTTAAAATATAGCTTGGATTTGCCAAAACTGAGATGTTTTAGAGAGATTGGAAAGAGACAATGTGTATTTACATGCTGGAATACTTGGCATCTTTGATCTGCTACCAAAATTTTTTTTTATATTATTGATGTATATCACCTTGGGCTCTGCTGATCTCTGGGGCTCAAATGGTTAAGCAGGTCAGTGTGATTACGCAACATATGGTGATATTTCTACTAGAATGTATATAGCAAGATCACACTGACTGGATGACATGTCATGATTACGGGTTTTTAAGATACAGTAGTGGTGAGGCCTTATACGTGCCAATTTAATAACAACCATAGCAGGAACATTTTCCTGGGCAGCCTTGTGTCATCACACCTGGGAACCTTTAGCTACAGTCTCCATGTTTTTGAGAGTAATTAACAAATCTGTGGGTGAGAACACATTTCTCCCTCATTCTCTACAGCTTCAAAACTGGAAAATTGGATAGCCCATGTGTTTATAGGCATATTTGTCGACCAATTGGCTAGTACTATCCTCTTTCATGTCCATGGCCACTTTATTTTAATTGGAACTCCACTTTTTAGTCTCGTAAAAAGAGAAACATGATCCCAATAATAGGTAGCAAAATAAATACCCCGATATCGACAGGAGCCCAAAATATGCCAATGTTACCGCTAACTCTGAAACATCCACAGATTGGTAATAATGACTTGGGCAAAGGCCAGCGGGACATGCATTAAGTATGTATTTCTAAATTATGGTGCATGAGACTTTAGATCTTGTGGTTTTGTTGATAGTCTGTAGAAGCATCTGATGCATCTTGATACTTTTTTGACAGCTACCAAGAAAGTTAATGCATAGAAATCTGAGTCATAGATCTTACAGATTGTTCGAGCAAGAC